TGCTGTGCCATCGGTGTGTGAATGTGTGTGAATGCAGTTTCTGTTTCTGATGAGCACCTTGCATGGCAGCCTCTGCTATCAGCGAATGACTGTGTGTGAATAGGGTAAGCGTGACATAGCGTACAGCACTTTGAGTGGTCGGAAGACTAGAAAGCTATATAAGTGCAGTCCATTTACCATTTAGTGTGTGTTCTGGGTGGTTAATAAGACATATGGTGTTAGCTGGGTTCCTTGGGCCTTGCTGAATAATTGCTATGGTATCTTTGGTGATGGTGTTGTTAAGCGGATGCTATGGTGTTTTGGTGATATTTAGGGTTTTGTCAAGAAGTTGATGAGATGTTCTTGTTCTTGTTGAAGGTTGTTACTAGGTGGTTGCCCCAGTGTTTTAAATACGTTATACAACACATTGCCGGAAACCATAGCTCAGGTCTCGGCAACAAGCTCCGTATATTAATGTATCATATGTCAACACATTCTCACTCCCAACTCTTCAACACTGCAGCTTGGTCAGTGGCCCTACACTTCAAACAAGGACGCTGTAGGTAACCCTCTGAGCATAAGTTTTCCGCATGCAGGGCTCCGCAGACAACAAATATTATGCAACATTAAGTTAGACTTTCAAATGGTTGGGTTTTGAGAGGGCTCCAAAGACAATGTTGTGTGTATTTCTTTTTTTGTTGTTCTTCTGCCATTTGGGTTTTTTTAATCTTATAGGAATTCTCTGATTTAATGCTGTTGCTTTCTTTCTTTGCCCATATGTAATTTGGTGTCCCCCCACTGGTTAAACTGCATATAATGTTGTCTGGGGTCACAACCTTGTTGCTAGTGAGCATGCTGAAGGCCTTTTGAGCATAGTAATACATTCTTTGCATGTCTTGCAACAAATTATGTTATTGGAGTGCTGTCGTTTACTAAATAATTGTTCCTACCTCCCATGAATAGTCACATAATTAAAGACGGACTGCAAGCTGAGGAGACAGATTGATGAAACCATCTGGCTAACTTACTTTCTCTGAGTCCAGGCACCAGCTTGAAAATGATCTCCTCCAGGGTGTTGTCCAACCTGAGAACATGGGAATAGAAAAAAAAGTGAAAAACAAGGAGTCAAGTAGGGATAAAGGATGTGGTAAAGTTGGTAAAGTTATGGACGAACAGTTGGAGATAGTTAGGGTCAAAACATAAAACATGGTAAAAGAAAAAAGCAGATGATAATAATAGAAGATGAAAAGAATAGGATATGGTAAATAAGATAAAAGAGAAGCAGAAGGATAAGAAGACAGAGATGTATTAAGAAGAGAAGGATGAGATGATCAAATAATAGAAAGATGAGAACAATAGATCAAGGGGGGAACTAATACGATGGAGGTGAACGGAATTAAATTTGCGGTACTCAAAGCATTCAAAAATATAATTTTTTTAAACTTAGCAACAGAATCTCTTTTAAGATTCAGAGATAGACACAGAGCCAGGAAGAAGAAATATGAGGAGAGCTTAAGGGTGATAAACTACCAGTGAAAAGAAAGAAAAAAGCTCAGTTGAATATGAGAGAGGACGAAGTGAGAGAAGTACATCTTACCTGAGCATCTCCAGTGGGTTGGTCTCGTGGACCTGAATGCCACATTTAGGACAGTCATTACTCTCCTCAAAGTGTTGCACAATACAGCTCTTACAGACTGCAGAAAAAACAACATCAACATATTTTATTGCGGTTAAATTAGTATCTCCAATGGTAACTCTTGGTCAGGACAGTTCTTATTTAAGTTTACTTACAAGGAGTCTCAATTTAAAACTGATGCCTGTATATGACTTACATAAACACACAAGGCAATAAGCGAGAAGATAGCTACAAGCTGTTTTTATGTATTTATTGGCTTCTTACTAGGTGGGATTTGGTCGGATTCAAAATGCAGTGGTAAAAACACTACCACAAAATGAAAGGTCCTTGAAGGATGTTGTCAACTCACTTTCTGGTTAGCTTGTCAGATTCCAAGCTAATTACCTAAGTGAGCCTAGGAGGCTTAGCCTGATATTCTTACACTTACCCTAGCCACTCATCACGCCCCATGCCTAAACCTAACCCACCCAACCAACAAAGGCAACTAGACAAGTACTAGCCAATCAGAGACAGAGTAGGGCAGCTCATGCCCAAGCAAACTGTCAATCACCTTACTGCCTCCAGGGACTGTCGTAGAATGGGAAAAACAGGAGAGCCTCCCGTTATTCCAACTTGGGAGTATTTACGCTTCATTAATGGTTACCTCCATTTAAGCCTTCAGTCTATCAGAGGCAAATCTGGCATTTGCTTGGTGGTTGCATCAGCACCATGTGTGAACTCTTCAAAGACACTATCGCTCCAAGAGTTTCCCAATGCTTCACAAGCACCCGAAAGATATCAAGCAGGCTAAATATCTGGTCTTGTTGTCCAGTGAAAGTGCCCTCTAGGGTTCCCTTCCAGTGGACAAAACATGATAAAGTGCCCTTTAGGGTTCTAATCCTAACCCTGACTAAGCTGTTTCACCATAAATGCTTCGCAACTTTCTGCATGCTAGAACCCTTTTTACCCCTGGCTCTCAAACAAGCGAGTCCACCACTGTCGGGGAATCCTCCTGGTGAAAGATCTTGTAGTGTATGACCCTCTGTCTGAGATCAGTATGTATGTATGTATGTATGTATTTATGTCATGTAGTGTGCAAACCACAAAGACTTGGACTTGTGAACAGTACAGAGATCTGATGACTTTAAAAGAAATGTGGAGTTCATAACTAGCTTATTAACAAGAGTGGACGATGTGTTCAGAAAATGCACTGTGGCGGACTCCAAACCAGATGACATCAAACAAAGAACTTCTGCCATTAATTTCCACTTTAAGCAACAAAGAAATCTACATGTGTGTGTACGTTTCACTCACAGGTGTGCAGGCACTCGGTGACCGTGGTTGGTTTGATCAGGTAACCCCGACAAAGGTAACAGGTGATGAAATGGTTAAAGTCTCTCACCAAGTGCTTCCTTCCTGTAGCAGCCATTTTTGGATTTTTTTTAGCGATGCTGCAGCGAGATACTGACCAGAAGTCAGAGTTACAGTTTGAAGCTGAAGGGAAACCTTCTAGCTTTAGAGGAGTCAGACGTCCATTCACAACAATGAGGGATAGATAGATTACAGTTACAGGCTAGTATTGCCTGCTAGAGTTTAATTAGAGGTTAAAAGTTTGTTAAGCTGAATTGGGTGTTAAGTGTTGGAATCTTCACCAGCACTGGCTACTGTAAGTCCAGGCTAGTGTTCACTATCCACAATTGATGAGAGATAAGAGATCCTACTGTGTAAAATCCTGCTCCATCCTTGACTCAAATTCTATTTTGTAGTCAGTTTTTCTTAATTAACATCTCCCACTCAGATCTTACTCCACCCTTACTGAACCATGATAGTCCCATTGAAATGAAAAAAGACTCCAGGCTTGTCCAGTCTTTGCAATCCCGTTTCAAACAAACATGCTTGTTAAATTCCCAGAATTCCCGGAGAGTAAAATGTCTCGCTTCCCTCCCTGTCTCAGCCAAAGTGCCATTTTTAATCCATGAGGGGTCACAGGTCAGCTGCCGACAGTGAGGCCAAATGCCTCTGCGTAGTCGCCGTCATTCCAGTCTGTTCATCCATCTTCATGGCGCTGCTGCTGTTGACGTTTTCATTCTTCCGGTGGCGCGCGGTGACACAGGATTCTCTGGCGGCCTTTTAACCTCGAACTGAAGTTACCTAAAGAGAATAAAGCACACAAATCAGGGCTGAACAGGACCGTGCTATGTGCAGACGACATATAAAAGTTTTTTGTTTTTTTTTAAAACATGCAGGAATGCAAAGCTAATTCAATCTTGTTTATATCTATCAACATACATATACACAACCTTTCACCTAGTTCTGGGCAGTATGACCAAAAATGATGGATCATGGATATTTTTAAGATTGTGGTGGTTTCACGTTATATCTTATTTTGTTTTTCTATTTTTTTTTTTTCCATAATGATTCCCACTAGGAATCATAAAGCATTAAACACAATCTTTATTGCGTGAACTGCAACGTAGAGGAAACAGAACTCAAAGGTAAAGGATATGCCAACATCTTTAACACTGCTTCCTTTTCAAAATGAATAATAATCAATTATCCAGACAGATATTCTAAAAACTTATTCACAATATAAAACAAACAGACAACCGTTGTCCATTATCACCTGTTATATGAAAAATGTATATCATACAGGAAATTAAAACCAGTTTACCGGTTCATGTGATATATCGCCCAGCACTACTAGTAAAAAACTGGGAAAATGCTGTTGGTGGGTAACACAGACAACGTAAACATCTTATTTATCAAATAAATAACTAAATAAAAAAAACAAATAAATAATTAATTATGAGCCAGATTAGGCAGAGAAGAAAAGTATATTTTTTCCTAAAACATATGTTTACTATGTACTTTACATTCAAGCTTGAAAACTGAAGCTAAAAAAAATGTTTTAGACAACTTAAAGGACCATTGGATTGAGTGGCATCTAGCGGTGTAATTCCAAGCACAAAGGAGAAATTGACCATGGAATGGCAATGCCCTTATCTAGAGCCAGTGTTTGTTTTGTTTTAGTTATGCATGTTATATTCTATTCCTGCAAATAGACCGTCCTAAATATTACACACTGGACCTTTAAGATAAAATATCGTAAGAAATATTTCAAAATATCTTAAGATAAATAAATAGTCCCTGATAGCTCAATAATACTGACAAAATGATTCATATAACCATATCTTTTTCACTGAATGCCTTTATCATTAAGGCAGTGGGGATTTTTGAGAAATGACTCTTTGCTCTTATGGTATTTAATGGGATTCTGAGAAAAAAAATCATGACACATGAGAAAGATGTGTCACTAACAAATACAATACTGCCTTCCACACCAGGAAATGATCAACAACCAGACAGATAGAGAGATACCGTCACTATACAGTCAGCTGGCAGCTTTACTCTTTTTCTATCAAACAAATATTAACTAAGTATCCTGTTGGCAGAGCAGCATGTTACAGCAGCTACTCGTTGTGAACCCAACACGTCATAGCACACCGAACCTTGGCAGGGCACACAAGAAAAAGCGAGAGAACCGTTCTGCCCGCTTCACACTGGCCCGCACCACGCAACCGCCAACAGCTGCGTGCAGGAGGACTTTATAAGCACGCCCACAGAGCAGCTGCGGCTCGCTCGGTTACATCACCAAACCCACCCAAATAAAGCTGCCCCATCATTAACGAAACACAAGATCAAACATTCAATAATTGAGCAGCACGCATCACATCTCACCTCCACCCCCCCACTCCTTTCAACACGCTTGACAAGCCTCGAATAATTGAGAGCACCATTCAACATATCCACACTCTTCAGCTGATCAACTCAGCAAATGGACACTTACACAGGTTAAATGCAGAAAACTCATTTTAAGGATAATTAAAAAGTGGAACAATGGGAGAGAACCTTTCTCAGAACCATCAACCTTCCAGGACAATGTTTTTTTTTTCCTATGTGGAAGTTTTGGGGGTAAATACTCATCAGCTCAGTTGTCACACATTTAACTTTTACACTGCATTGCTTTTACCTTTTTGGTTTGCTGTTGCCTATCTGCTTTTTTGTTTAGCATTTTAGTAACCACTGGTACAAAGTAGTGTTGTTTTTTTAAATCTGGTGCCCTGTTGAGGTCCCTCCAAAACACATATGACCGTTACAGAGATGATGTGTTGGGAGACGTGAGGTGAACTGCAGTCTCCGGTGTCAGAGCCAAGATATTTGATTTGTTATCAAAGATACAGATTATCTGTCTCATGTTCTACTGTCAGGATATATATGACAAAAATATTTTATAAAGCCCCTTTAATGTTTTAAACTTTTAAATTCTTACACATTGGACCTTTAAGATGAACTACATCAGATTTATTTTCTATATTTATTCATGCAGCAGTCCAGGCGTACACAATCATCAAGTTTACACACATACAGTAACTTCACTTGTTTTCCAGCTCTATTGTATGTGTATCTGCAATATCATTTTTCCCATTCCTGTTCTCACCTGTTTTGTTGTGAAGCATTTTAGCACACTCTGTAATTAATGTGATAATTATAAACTAGCAGTGACAGAAACATTCATCCTACAGGATTGTTCCAGTTCTGACCTACATGCATCTGTCTCTGGATTACCATTACTATAGATAGCTTAACTCTCCAACTTGCCCCCATTCCATCCCCACTTTGATGGATCTGAATGAATTTCGGTTCCTCTGCTTCAAATATAGATACTGAGCTAAATATTAAGCTTCATAGTGGTGGCTGAAAACCCACTAAGAAGTTTCATATTTACTGTGCTATGCCTCCTGTAAAGCATTTATTTTCAGCCCATGTGCTGTTACAGTAAATTAAGTGAGCGAGTAGATGTTTCTGGATGTGGGATTAGTTCATGTTCTCAGGTCTGATTCATTCCCTTTGTAAACACACAGCAGTCTGTCCATTACCTGATAACAGGCTACCATCAAATACTAATCATCATGCAAATGACTATAATAACACTCACAAAATAAACAATATGTGTGCATATACATCACATACACATATACATTTGGCTGAATTATAAATCCAGAAGTGGTACTAACTGCCGAGCCGTCTGGGAGCTGACAGAGCCGGCTCTTATTGCTGAGCTCAGCCAGATGATCCGGATCACTAAAAAGAGCCAGAATTCCCATCACTGGGGTCCAAGTCACAATGACTGGAGTCCACGTCTCTGGTTTGGAGAAACTTTCTCATTATTTTCAGATGCTATGTCAATAGTTTTAAACAGTTTCTCATTATAATGACTTACAGAATCCTTTTCCCATCACATTGGCAGAAACGGGCTTCCATACATACGAACTTTAACAGGTCCCACCAGAGATATTAGAAGAACAGGCTGTTCCACCTACTTTTAATTAGGGGTACACTTTATTCTCTCGTGCAACTTCCCGCATTTTGAAGTTACGTGAGCTGCATGTTGACATGCTGTGTGTACGTCAGGTGTGTAAACAGTGTGGAGCACATGCAGAGGAGCCGGACTGAGACAGCGGCTCTTTCTCACTGCAGACACAAACTACAGTGCGCACTTCACTCCAGACCTGCCTCATTCAGCGGGGCTCGCTTTTTGCTAGAAAAATCTCCAGTGCGCAGTTCAGAAATCCTCAGTGTCTGTCAATGAGACGCACGCACACGCGCACGCACACGGGCGTGCTATTTATTCACAAAGCGGATCCGCTTATCTCATCGTTATGGCGCGTCACGGTCTACGTCACCCATGTCAAAACAACATCAATGGACGACACGCGCGCATTACAGCCGACATACAAGACGTGTTTCAAACGCTCGTACCACAGTATCCATAGGTTGAAAGAGTATCATCATCCCAGTGTACCTTTGCTAATCTACAGTATTGAAAAAATATTTCAAGTTATCACTCATGGATCTATGTCGGATCGATCTTTTTGTAAATTATAAGAAAAGCCGTCTGTTTTTTATTCGCCGTTGGAAGGGTTAATCTAACTATATGTACTGAGTAGAATTACCGAGTGCACTGTAAAACTGTCTGGGTTGAGGAGGAGTTTCGTCCATTAAGTCTGCAATACTGTTCGCAACTTTGGCTGTGCTGCAGTTCCTCTACCACTTTGAGGCTGGCTCCGGCATGAGTCCATTTCCAGTAAAGCTCGCTATTCTAAATTCAAAACGCAGGGTATTTTGTCACAGTGGCAGCCGTTAGACCGTAAGTTTTTCTAATACTAAATCCCACGTGTTCAGGAGAATACTGCATGGAATGTTTATTTGTATTGGGGATATTAGATATAGTTTTTTTTATGTGAGCTCCAAACAGGAGAAAAAAATATTCAATTTGCAGCCTTTTTAAAGCAGGTATGGAGCAGCTTGACACACTGGTCTAAACAATGGCGTAAACTTTGCACTGCTCGGGTAAAGGACTAGGCTCTTTTTTTTTTTTTTTACGGAATCGGTTTGTAATTTCGCATGCACAAAACAGGGTAAAAAAAGAGAATGTAACACTTGAAGTCAGCTTTACAATAAGATGAATGGTAGTTGCACAGCAAAATCGTATAACCTCACCATCACTGATTAGACTTGGATCCATGTTCAAAACATTTGAAGGAAAAAACATGACAGAGACGCACCAGATCTAAATGTCATGTCCTTACGAGGTTGACGCGTCTTTGATATCAGTAATAAGTTTACCTAATAAAAAATATATATATAGATCGCTATATATATGCTGGGTAGCGCGGTGTCAGAGACAAACTATGACAAGCTAACACTGCGAAATATAAACGTTACTCTGAATGGTACATAAAAAACAATCGCTAAGTGGTGAACAGTAATACCATCGGCATTTCTACGGCGAACTCACCTTATAACTACTGTCAGAAACATGGTCATCATTTTGTTGACATCAATTAAAAAAAGTATACTATTCTATCTATTGTCTGTCAACACTTCACGTAACAGTAGAAATGGCAAAAAAAGCAATAGCAGATATCTTTTGTAGAAGTGAAGTTCACTGATGACGATCACTTCTCATGCACAATCAATATCAAAAATGATGAATAATTTAACACTAAGCTCCGAAAAAATGAACATGATGTAACAATAAAACAAAGTCAGAACCGATGACAAAGTCGTCTCAGGAAGCTGCGAATGCA